GGTGTTTATGGGGTTTAAACCCAATAAACCCAAAACACCCGGTTTTTACCCACCAGACTTTAAACCCACCCAGGTGGATTGCCCATCTCTATTAAGAGGTAAAACTGAAAATAATTTTTAGTAACTATTTATTTATTTTAATATGAGTATTGCCTCTGAGCATCTTCCGCTAGATTAACAAAATATTATATATTTTGTCTTGCTATGATAGACATTGTATTCAAAATATTCTTATATGTTATCCACCTCTACTATCATCATCATCATATCAGCCTTTAACTGACCACTGCTGAACATAAGATTTCCCCTTGGGTCGGGGGGGGGGGGGGGGTTACCCGCAGTTACCATGGTTGGCAGGTGGATTCGAACACTATAAACTGTTTTACAAGGAAACTGTATTTCCAAATGAACGGAGTTGTAAACTTAGCGCTTAACATACATTTTACTACGTAAAGCTTGCTTACGGACGAATCACTGTTTTGATTTATCAAAACCATTCATTATTACGAACTATTTGTACATATGTCGATTTACTGTTATCTGTCCACTTAACACTTAAGTTGGTAACACTATTAACTGTCTGAAACGAATCTAATTGTTTTTTACTATAAACACTGCACTAAAAATCCATTATTAATATATTTGTATATGTAGCGGCGATATAGTCGTCAGGAGCAAAAAGGGAATAAAGACAAAAAATTATAATGAATTATTACAATGTTGTAAAAAACATACACCCACTCGCCAGTTCGGAAATCAATTGCGTTAATTGTTTGAAATTCAAGTCATTCCGAAGTCCGGTGTGGTGCCGGTGGACGCCGATATTGACGCTGCTCGCGCCGCCACGCCGGTGTACGAGCAGCGAGTGGCTACTCAGGTGGGTCTTCAAATAGGGGTGGCGGGGGGCAGACCGCTAGGACGGGAGAGATCCATCTCGGAGGAATCGGCGCGCATTATGTCGCGGGGGGTTGAGCCAGAGACTCGGGCGTTCTGGATATGAGGATGTAGGGTGGTGAGGGAATGACACACATATAGTGGGATAGGCGTCTTGTACGCAGAGCCCGCGGAGATTGGGTATTTTTCCTTTGTTATAACCCGAATACGCGGTTTCGGCGGGGGTCTTTTTGCGCGGGGATTGAGCGTGAGAGCGAGGGTGAGGAAAAGACAGATGCCTTTCCGCACATTCTCTTGTCGTCGTGCGTCACGTTAGTCGATGACGCCGACGACGACGAGGTGGTAGGTACGGCGCGCTTGGTCGCGCCGGAGAGGGGTCGAGCGGAAATTGGCGAGATGAACGCCGGTGAGGGGGACCGGGGGTACCCCAAGACGCGGCAATCACAGGTATTCGCCATGGGATCCTGGACGATCTGGTCGACCCTCCGGCGAATGACTGACTAGAGCGGGGTCCAAGGCCTAATGCTGACGGAGGGATAATCACAGATTTAGAGGGATCAAAGAGATCCCTCTTAAGAATGAGACGAGCGGGGGCGCGGCGAGGGCGTCCCCGCTGCGACATTATGTCGTCGTAAGTAAGGTAAGTGGGGGGGAAACGCTGCGAGGAGGACGGTGAGGGAAGGTATTGACGAGATGCTGATGGAGTGCCAAGGGACAGACGATTTCATCAAAAAATAACTGCCCTTGGCTCGTGGCTCCCGGCTGCGTCTGCGGTCGAAGTAGACGGAGTTTCCGCAGGTTAAAAACGCGGGGCGTGTGCGGAGTTGTAGCGCGGAGTTGCGGCGCGCAACAGGTTGCTATATGTCAAAAGATAAAAACTTAATAGTATGGATAAAAATAATTAATTATTACACCAGTCTAAAGTCAAGCACTCGTGTTATGACTTTTAGTCTGCGGTGAAACAATCATCATCATCATATCAGCCTTTAACCATCCACTGATGAACATAGGCCTCCCCCTTGGGGGCTTTTGCCAGTAGATGCCACGCTTGGCAGGCGGATTGACAACCGCAGTTAGGCTTTTGATGATGTTTAAAGAGGAACTCTGCTACCTATCGTAGCAACTACTGGCAAAGCGATCCGGACTCGGTTCACACGGGTAGATAGAATTTTCGAATATATAACTATGTTACTCACGAATAACGTAGCCTTTTTATGTGAAAATCGTTAGAGTAATTTCGCGTTTATGCATTATAATCAACTTTTTCCTCTATAATATTAGTATAACTTAGGCAAATATATAAATGTGAAAAGGAGTTTATTTCTTTTTTACCAATTAGCGCCTAAGTAGGTAGTATAGATAAAAAAATTAAGCACTTACCGTCTTCTGCACATTCGCGTTTCAATTAAGACTTGGAGGAAGACGCTGTGGCTGACTCCTGGTACAGATCCTAAGAATGTTTTGTATTCACATTTCACAGAATTTTCTATATTATCAGTAATATTTTTTAAGGTTACCCATTACAAACGAATAGAATCTTCCCTCTTTATATTACTTTAGCATTAAAAAAATGATAAGTTTAGGAATTTTAAAAAAGATTATCAATTCTTCTGTATTTTTTTTTAAACTACAGTACGCAATTACGTCGACAATTCAAAACCATTTTAATAGATTTTACAATTGACGGCAGCTTCTGTATCTATTGCGAGATGGTCAGTTGCAAATGTTGTACTAAGGATGAATAGTAAATTATAGAATTAAACCGAAATAGACAACAGACTTAAAACTAAGAATCTATTTAAGCTATAAAACAGAAATTACACAAATACATAATCAACATAATTTGTTGAGTCTCCCGCAACTGTGTTAATATGGGAAACTAAAATTTGTTGGCATTTTGATCCATGTTTGTTTGTTAAAATTATTCATATTCCATATGTTTATTTCTATTCCATAATGCTACAATAGGTAGTGAGTATTATGAATCATGATGGGCGCAGCAAGTAGCAATTGAAGAGATGGTCTTAATGTATGTTTTACATAATTAAAGACTGTGTCCAACAAAAAAACGGACTTCAATTGTAACAAAACCATTTATTTTGATTTAAAAACTAAACTACTGCACCGATTTTGATAAAATTTCTGTGGACTATATGTATATGTATGTATATTTTCAGATAAAAACAATAATTTTCCTAATTGGCTGTGCACTAATAAGTAACAAACATTAAAAATTTAACTGAATTGGGAGCCGTCTGTTTTTGAAGTCGGTTGAAAAACAAATTTGATTCGTTTTATTTTATACAACATCAGTAATAAATTTTATTGTAGTTTATATTTATATAAAATAATATATTAATAATTAGGATACTATAATAATTTTGTATTATTTTTATTAATAATTTAATAAACTATTTATTTTTTTAATATTATGGTACAGCACTTATTAATTTTATTACAGTTTATCAGAAAAATACTTATTTACGTTGTAATAGAATTTATTTATTAATAGTTTTATAAATTTGTTTTTAATTAATTATTAGAAAATTTCAAAATCACAGAAAACATGTTCTATTAGCATTCAGTTTATATTAATGCGAAACACCTTAAGACTATTTCAATTGTATTAAATGTGTAAAGTTTTGTCAATTTTTATATTTTTTATTGGAATTATAAGAGGGCTAGGCGAATGCGTTGAAAGTCTAAATCGGGGAATATTAACTTGTTTTTGAGTCGTACATAATAATTAGATTTTACACTTTCTTTTTTATTGTATAAGTCAGGATATTTGTGAACAAATTTACAGTTTTTTAGAATATACAGTACATGGAAGAAGTAATATTTTAATTTTTTATAAAGTAAGATTTACAGATATCTGTTTGTTTTTTGTTTGCAAATAATTTTAGCTTTTTTTGGGGATTAAAATGCTAGACCAGTCAACGCTATTTTCCCAAGCATTAATCCCGTAGCTCAGGCATGAGTAAACGTAAGCATAACCTCATCAAAAACATAAATGTGAAAAGGAGCTAAATTCAATATTACGAATATGCGACGGGGGAAAGGGATTGTTAGTGATGGAGACTGAAAATCCCATTGCTAGCAATATACCCAACCAGGTCAACCTCCTCGCGGTCCTAGAAACTATCATGGTTATTTTGTGATGAATTCATCATGATGGGCTAACTGGCCTGTTTTCATTCTCATCTATCACCCTTCACTGGTACTCCGCCAGCGTATTCCATTAGCTCAGGCAGGATTAGCATTCCATTTTCACCCATCAAAAAACAAAAAAAAAATATGCAACGTTTCTACTCCGCCGAAACAATAATTGAGATTTATAGGGGTACCAAGTTTAATGTAGAAAGTCTTAAAATTTGCAAAATATCAAAACATGCAACAGTATAAAATAAATTTATATAACAATTTCTTGTTTCCTGGTACTATTTCCATGTCTGCTATTTAATAGATTTCGTAAATTTTAATAGACAATTATTACCACAATGTGTTAATTTCACTTGGAATGTAATTTAAGCTCAAGTTTTGGCTTGAGTAGTTTTAATCAAAAAAATCAAAAGTTTTTTCTAACATTTGATGTTTTAAGTAACGTGTGTATAATATCAATCCAACAGTATGAGTACAGTACAAAGAGGTCGTACACTAACTTGCGTGTGACTTAATGAAAATTAGAAAAAAATAAAAATAAAGCCTGTACATAAAAACTAGCTAGAAGTTCACTTTTCTTCTTATAGGGCTCCCAGTTCATGTTTGTGTTAATATTTAAAATAAGCAAACTCGTTTACTACTTTTAAATTTATACTATTAAAACTGAAATTAATATCCAACGACTTTCTTCTAGTACAGATGAAGTCATCAATTGTGTTTTGCAAAAGTTTAATTCAAGGTTATGTTGAATGTGGATGACATTGGATTATATTATTTAAAATAATTCTTAATTTTTAAGATATATTCCGACAAGAAGTGAAAAGAGATAAGTCGTCTGTCTTTATTATTTTAGGAAAGTCTTTTATCACATAAAAGACTAAAATAAAAGGCATCAAAGTATTTAAAATATATATATATATATTAGTTAATTTTAACTATAATAAAAAGATAATTAATACCTATACAATAGGTTTTATGTTTTAGTACGGTGGTCGATGAAGCTATATTAATGTATATTTAGAATTTTATATACCATGCGTATAAATCAGAAGGTATCTTTGCATATACAGACTCTATATTTTCACGCGATGGACCTGTAATAAAAATTAAGTGTATTAAAGCTCAGAAATTAAAATTAGCAATTTATGTTTTTATAATTTGTAAATCATAAATTAGAAATGATAGAAGAAAAAATTATGGTAATGGTTTTTAATTCCCTTGACAATAACAATATTTCATATTTCTTCTTTAAATGAAAGTGTTTACATTCACAATTCCTTTCAAAAAACTGTAAACAAAGGAAATAAAAAATCTTACCTACTCGAATACATTACGGGCGCCTTACATTTCTTTCTTTCAAGTGTCTCAGAGTATGAGGTGGCAAAAAACCAGTTCTAAAGTAATTTTCTCTCTCAAATATGGTAGCATGAACGAAAATACAAAACTTTCTGTAACAATTTCCTTTTACATAATCGCGACAAAACTTGTAGACTCCATTCAGTTGTTTTAAATCTAGTTCATGGGAATAAATACAATCATTTCCCCTTCTGCAAATTCCTCGAATGAAGTCCTTACACATGATTTTTTTGATTTTTCTGTATTAATCTTGATTGAATATTTTTTGGTATAACCATTTTTTGTTTTTTCAATCGAGTTTAACTCATATGGTCCAGTGTTGCCTTCAGTTTCGAGAGTACTGTTAATGGAATTACCTGGTGGAGGGGTGTACGGGATTAATCGTGGCTGTGCATTTGCCTTTTCATTATTACTATTTTCATTCGAGGGAAGCTCATCATCGATGCATAATACATACGCTGTCTTAACTGCCTCATCAAACATTGATTGTAAATATTCCATCATGTGTATTGAATTTGGTGATAGCGTTTCTGAAGACATTTTCGAACCTGAATAAAAAAAAAAAATAAGCTCGTGAGAGTTCAACTTACATATCGAGGGTTCCATATATAATCGATTTCTTTTATATTTAATTATTATTATTATTTTGAATAAAAAAATATTTAAATATGTAGGACTAGGAATGTGATAAAATGACTGTATCTATTATCATTTTCCTGTATAAATGTATATATTTATTGCGTTTTTTTGTATCAAATAGACGCTTAACAATTAATATTTTATTACAATTCGGTAATCCGTATTTTGAGCCATAACTGTACTTAAAAATCAGATAGCATAACTATGTTTGTTTTTAAACGTTATTGATAATTACTCAAAAATATTATCATAAAATAATTACGACGATTAGTACGATTTGGAATGTACAAAAAACCCTTTACTATGATATCCCACTTAACCTGCGCTATCGGTATATGCAGGTAGCACCAGTGAAAGATGACAGGCGAAGACGAATACATTTCAGTAAGCCCGGCATGATGGAATTATCAAGAATGGACTTTATAGGCAATCAACCTGGCGACAAGCCACCTACTACCCTACACTTACTTTATTATTTTTTATTAGGGGATTAGTTGTCCCATTGCTAGCAATATACCGTATCAGGTCGACCTTCATGTGGTCCCCCCGAAAAACATGCTGAATTCCAACTGTATTCATCACGATGGGCTAATTAACCTGCCTTTTAATCCTCATCTAACATCCTTCACTCGTAGCCAACATTGGACTATCATCCATAAAAAAATATCAGGAATAAATCACGATGGTTGCCAGAAGGGACCACACGAAGGTCGGCCTGATCTTACCATTATGTCCCACTAAACATCATCCAGCGAGTCACCAAAAAGATATATCATTTACATCACGCCGAAATAGGAGTGACTTTGTACTATAGCGGGTAGAAATTATTTTGTTAAATATTATCCACCTGTTCCATATATCCATATGTTACCACCTACCTTAGTTTCTTCTGATGATATCTCTCCAACGAAATAATTTTGAAATAATTCTCGAACTGATAACGATGTGATCACAACGTCTAACTGGGGTGGTGATGTAGTAAGGTTTGAAAGTAGTGCATGGTTGTCGATCTATAACCGTTTCGTTTAATAAAAATCGACATTTGAAAGGTAGATATTAAACTACCTTCAAATGTCAAAAATGATTCTAGATACTTTGATGATAAAACATTCTGTAAAAACTGTTGGCGAAGTGGAAAATTGCACGATATTTGTTGTCAATATTATTTTTTCAAATATTATGTATTAATATAAATCTCAAGACTGCCACTTTAGAGCGATTTAGAAATTAAAGTAATATCATGAATTATTTCTATCTATTGCTATTTGATCATGTATGGCGCTATTTGTCAGAATTATGTAGCAATCGTCCTTCGTAATCGTAATAACATTTTTTTATTTAGCAATTACTAGCGAAGTGTTTTCACAGTATTTATAAGGAATCCTTTCCTCGGTATAACCGTACCGTGTTTTTTTTCTTATGGATGATAATGGCATGGTATCTCCGCCTCCGCTATCGGTATACACTGGCGGGGCACCAGTAAGGGATGATAGGTGAGGATAAAGCAGGTCAGTTGGCCCACCGTGACAAATCTATCAATAAATCAATTACGAGTTTCCAGAGGGAACCACGAGGAGGTTAACCCTGACAAGGTATATTGCTAGCAATGGTGCTACTAATCCTCATTACTAACAATTCCTTCTCCTCCCACTGTACCGTGTAAGTGTAGGGTAGTAGGTGGTTTGTCGCCAGGTTGATTGCCTATAAAGTAACAATGTGTAAAGATTGCACGTTTACACTTTGTGATCGATTGGTAATTTTAAAAGTAACATAATAACTTTCTGATCACAGAATTAATATGTATATACTATAACTATTACTGATATTGTGCCATTGTGTGTGATATTGTGTGCATAAAATATACGGCGGCAAATTATTAAAAAAGAAGTATTTATTTTTCACCATAAACTGGGAAAATCCACTGGTTGCTCTGATTAATCTAAATCATTCTGCAGAGGCAGCATCAACGTATATTATTGTTTGCTTGCTATAATTAAGCTTTAATTATTATATAATACAAATGATATTCAAAATTAAAATATTATCGTGCAATTTTCGCCTATCGCAGTTTGCATGATCGTAGTCAAGATGCTGAGCAGTTCATCTTTGTCCGTAAATTTTGTATGGAAGTTGGTAGTATGTTAGTATCATAGATATACACGACACGTCACAAACAAAAAACCATCCTATTCTTAAATTATATAGATACAGGTTGGCAACTTTTTACAAAGATTTCGGAATTTAATTAATAGACCATATCGTGTATAGCTCGTTGTATTCAGGCCTAAGAACAAGGAATTACTTAGAAGGAATGATAAAATAAAAACTGTAAATCATATGGTTGCTTACATTCTTCTTATGCAAATATAATTGGTAAAAAGAGGACGAAAGATATACCATCAGTTGCTATTGTTATCAATTCATAGCAGGCTAGTGTATAGAAAATATTATACAGCCGTATAATCCTACCAAATTCAGATACAACCTGCTTGCATACGTTTTACATAAACTGGTGTGGAATATATAATCTAGTACATACAGATACTTTTTCTTTATCGTGATATTGGTGTAAAATAACATTTTATCAATACGTCTGTGTCTGGTAATGAATCAAAATGTTATAAATAAGGTAAAAATTACCTACCCTGATGGAGATGAGTTTTCTAAGACGCCTAATATCATTTCCAGTAAGTATATATATATATATATATAATTTATTGCACTAGTTAATATATTTTTTTTTGATGGGTGAAAATGGTATGAGTAACCCCGCCCGCGCTAACGGGATACGCTGGCGGAGCACCAGTGAAGGGTGATAGATGAGAATGAAAACAGGCCAGTTAGCCCATCATGATGAATTCATCAGGAATTAACCATGATAGTTTCAGGGAGAACCGTGAGGAGGTCGACCTGGTTGGATATATTGCTAGCAATGGGATTTTCAGTCTCCATTACTAACAATCCCTTTCCCCTAGTTAATATATTTATTGTTTATTTTACAAAAGATACATAAAAAAAATAAAGTTTTTGCAACATATATTGATCAAAAGTCAATACAAAATCATTTTGGATATTCAAGTCACTTAATTTAATAATATCATAACAAGAAGACAATTGATCTACTGTTTTTTCCATTAAACCTTATGAAGCAGAGCCTAATGTCATTTAAGGACATTCTGAAAGCTTGTGATGTAAAAAGACATGTTTTGTTTGATGAAGTTTTAAAAGAAACTTCATTTACAAATATTGATATTCTAGTATTAAATACCAAACCTTAATTTAGGAGTGTGAGTGTCACACCATGTCAGCTGTCATTTTGAAAATATTTTAAGGGTATAGTACATCACTGCAGCGGCCAGCAACTGAGGCATTGATGGACGAACGTACAAATGTGGGCCGAGGCATAGCCGAGGGACACATACGTGAGTCCATCAATGCCTAGTTGTGGCCAAGGCTTGTATAGTACTTTTCTCAAACAATGCGCGGAAATCAAAACACAATTTTTTACTTTTTAAGTTCAATGACGAATAAGGAACAATAATAATTTTCACGCGCCATAATATTCTTTGTTTTTTTTTTCAATAAACAGCTTTCTTTGCAAACCAGTTCGAAATTTAAATAAAACCTTGTATTAATTACCTTCTTGGTAGCCATATTTCAAAGTAAAAGGTCATTCCATTTTTAAATTACAGGACAGATATGAGCTTACATAGTAATTTATCTGGGCGCAAAGCACGACAGATATGGATTTTCATACAACTTTTGTAGGCCTTTGCCCGCATGTATTTTGGCCAGTACGGCAATTTTGATTTATCTCGAAGAAGATTGTCAAAATAATACATTTCCAAGCATGTTTGAGAAAAATACAATTATAGCCTAATAGTATATTTCCTATTTATTTACTACAGTTGTTCCATGGTTGTGTAGCAGATATTGAATTTTGAATTTCTATTTCAAAATTGGGACTTTATGTGAAGAAAATGTAATGAACTTGACTAGAGTTTATTAATTATTTTGAAATCTAAGTATTTATATTGTATTATATGAATTTATACAAATTGTGAAAATGATATACTTAGAGAATTCATGTATAAAATAGGTAAGTTTTACTATAAACATGAAACTTTAATATTTCAGATGTGTTCTGCACTGGAGGAACTATGATAATCCACAAGCACTGCAGTGTGCTGGACTTCAGCAACAATCTTGAACTTTTAAGTAGTAATGTTAAGTAATGTCTATAAATGCCAA